TGGCTGGGCAGCAGCTCTGCAGAAAAGGACCTGGGGGTTACAGTGGACAATAACCTGAATATAAGCCAGCAGTGTGCCCTTGTTGCCAAGAAAGCTAATGGCATACTGAGCTGCATTGGTAGGTGTGCTGCCAGTATGTCAAGGGAAGTGATTATTCCCCTCTATTCAACACTGGTGAGGCCACATCTGGAGTACTATGTTCAGTTGTGGGGCCCCCAACTACAGAAATGATGTGGACAAATTGGAGACAGTCCAACAGAGGGCAACAAAAATGGTGAGGGTGCTGGGGCACGTGACTTATGAGAGGAGGCTGAGAGAACTGGACTCATTTAGTCTAGAGAAGAGAAGACTGAAAGGGGATTTAATAGCAGCCTTCAACTACTAGACAGGGGGTTCAAAAGAAGATGGAGCTGGACTGTTCTCAGTGGTGACAGATGACAGAACAAGGAGCGATGGTCTCAAGTTGCAGCAAGGGAAGTTTAGGTTACATATTAGGAAGAACTTTCTCACTAGGAGGGTAGTAGAAGACACTGGAGCAGGTTACCCAAAGAGGAGGTGGAAGCTCCACCCTTAGAGGTTTTCAAAACCTGCCTAGATGAAGCTTTGGCTGGGATGATGTAGTTGGGGCTGGTCCTGCTTTGAGCAGGGGGTTGGACTGGATGACCTCCTGAGGTCCCTTCCAACCCTCATTTTCTATGATTCTGCACAGTGCCACAAATATTCATGAGGTTTTACAAGCAAACAACAACAACAAACAAAAAAAGAGATTTGACTGAAATCAGAACTCCTTGCAATTAATTCTAAAAATTCCACTAAATTCAGTGGAAGGAGCGGTGGTACAGTGTGGAGATCTCTGACTAAACAGACAAGAAGAATGCAAGGAGGACTACAGGAGGAATCTCTCTCCAGAAGGTGAAGTTTTCTGTTGTGAACAGAAGATGGAAGCTGTTTTGCATCATGGTTTTAGAGCTGTATTTTTAATGGATGAAGAAATGAGAAAAGCTCTGAAAGAGGATTAAGAGATACATTTGTAGCAGCAGCACGTTGGCCACCATTGTCCCTCTGCATAACCTGTGGCAGGCTAGGGTGTAATGTCTTGTGTTTGCATCAGGCTTAACTGTGTAGTTTTGCTAAGAGGTTAGACATTGTATTTGTATGAGGTGGTTTGGGTAGAACAAGCAACAAGGAGTTGGATTTTGATAGCTATTTTCTGTATGGAGTAATGGAACCAGAGAAGTGTAGATTTGAAATACCTGACAGAAGAAACTATGAAGAAGAGTTGTAACCTTGAGAACAGAAAGATGGTATTGGAAGGAGGATATTTATTCAAAGCCCAAAAGGATTTGGAAACAACTTACAAGTTTAGGGACAAGGGAAAAGAGTCATTTTGATGGTGAAATTATCAACAAACTTCCTAATTTTATTATTATTATTTTACACTACACTATGGGTTAGAATTTATTCAAGAGAGAGGTTCATGGGGATACCCTGGGTCTCAAATGTAGCTTCAAGTCCCTGAGAGGTAGAAGAAAAAGGCCAACTGGATATTTAGAAGTGACATTATTACAGTAAAATGACATCATACTTCCAGTCAACATATGTCACAGTCAAGGATTCTGTAGAAAGGTCTTTCTTTGTATCATTGCAACAATGGGCACCAAAAGAGAAAAATGTCCTCCTGAAAAATGAACCAGTTTTCCATTTTTAAGTAAACGCTCACCTGTGAACAAAGGTGGACTACAGCCAAGCCCCATTGTCTTTCTAAATAGATATAAGCAATGCAGATATCATTGATGCAGGATGCAAAGATGCCATGTCTTCCATGTGAAGCAGGGGATAGCTAATTATTTTTACTCATCAGAATCTAAGGCATATGCAACAACTACTTAGAGCAAGGTCATTTTCTCTATGGTAACTGTCCCTCTGCACTTTCTTACCCCATGGTAGATAAAAGGGATGCACACATGCCACGGAGCATTTCATGTGCTTTAGATGTCCCTTTCCTTTCACTTCACCATTAACAATTTGTGTGTCCATGACCTAAAAAGTACTGATACAGGAGTCATTAATAGGTAGCTGTCATCAGGTATAACCCTCCACTTGCCAAAAAAGCTCTGGTTTTCTGCATGTACACATTAAAACAGAAAATCCTTTAGAGCCCACATGTTAACCCGCCCTGTCATAGATATAAAGGACACAGCTAGGGCTGCTCAGGACAGTTTATATGAACACTGCTCTTTCAAAGTCAGAATGTTTTGGAAAGATGTCTTATTTCTGATGACTTGTTAAACAAGTTCTTTAGGCCTGGGTGCTATGTTTGTCCAAAGTATTCATAACGAAATGACTCCAGCCACAGGTGTGGAGAAAAGTGCTGTTAGACTGGCAAACACCGGATATATTGTAAATATAAAGTAAAACTGTACATGCACTGGCATTAGCGGATTCAACAGAAAGTAACCAAAGATTCATGACCACAGCCCGCTCTTTGGCGAGAGAGGCAGCGAGCTGCTGGGAAGAGATGGCCTCCACCTCTCTCCCCTAGGGAGGAGGCTCTTCTCAGCCAGACTGGCTGACCTGCTCCACCGGGCTTTAAACTAAGCCCGCTGGGGGGGGGGGGGGGCTATCGCCACTGCTGGCCCGCTGAGCAATCCTTGCAAAGCCAGCAGTTCAAGGCACTTAAGGGAGACTACCCCTGCCCCTGCCCCTGCCCTGGTAAAATCTGTGGGCAAGGAAGGAGCCCCCCAGGGGGCACTTGCTTGCCTGTACACAAATGCCAGGAGCTTGGGGAATAAGCAGGAGGAACTCATCCTCCTGCTCAATGCAAATAATTATGATGTCATAGGGATAACAGAGACCTGGTGGGACTCCACCCATGACTGGACCACAGGTATAGATGGCTATACCCTGTACAGGAGGGATCGTGTAGAGAAAAGGGGCGGGGGTGTAGCTCTCTATGTTAAGGAAAGCTACACGTCCCTGTAAGCCAATATTGGTGACCAGGGTGGACGGCTGGAGACCCTCTGGGTTAAAATCCATGGGGAACACGGCACAGGGGACACAATGGTGGGAGTCTACTACAGACCTCCCACCCAAAGTCCTGAGCTTGACCAGGAGTTTGCCCGGGAACTAGCTGAGGCCGCATGCTCCAGGACCATGGTTGTCATGGGTGACTTCAATTACCCGGACATCTC